GGAAATGAAAACCTCATCCAGAGTCAGATTATTCACTGCCCTTCAGAATAAAAATTGCAAGTTGTGAGAAAGGGTTCTTTTGGGCCAATTATCTCCTGAAATTGTCAGCCATGTCTTTATACCAGTCCAAGTAATTTCTGTTGCATTTCTGCAATAAAAGACTCCTACCACTCTGGGGAAAACAGAAAACTGTGTGGGTGCCTTGGCTGGCAGGGGTTTAAAAATATCTGTGGTTTGTGTGGCTTTATTGGATAGAATGTAGGATTTTCCACCCTGTGGTTTAAATTTCCTTGTGCTGGAGGTTGTAGAATCTGTTTTTCTGAAATGTTGCTTATGTCTAGAATGAAGCCCTTACTTATGTTTAGTCGGGACTGGGAGGAATTGACTCAGAGAAGTGATAATGGATGCTCTGGAATTGTTGTGGGGCTACAGAATAGATGGTTCACTAGTAAGATACCTTCCCCCCCCCCAAATGCAGCCAGTTCACATTTCTCCAAGGCAGTTAGTGATGAAGGGCGATACTTTTCAAATGCTGTTGTCCTCATGTGCCTGGTTGGTGACATGTGAGGAGCGGAGTGATACGTGGGTTGGGAGGTTTGTTAAGTACCATCACGACATGCTGGATACCCCTTTTGAAGTTCCTGGCTAAAGCCTAAGGGGCAGTTTGAGCTGCTGCTTTGTTCGGTCTGCTGGGAGTGGTTTGATGCCTGGGACTGTGAGGAGTCCCACAATGCGTAATGAGTCTGTTTAATGCTGTTTGTTGGCTTCGAAAAACAAGCCCCAATTTTTAGGGTCATTCAGAGGTGTCATGAGTACTGAATACAAATATCCTATACATCCCTGCTTACTCCAAGAGGAGAATAATTAATGTTTAATGGCTAAAATTAAATATCAAACTATTGAACTGTGATAAAATAACACGACTTACTATTTTGAAAGTTAGAGTACCGTACACTTAGCATGTTTCTGCTGTCATTTGAGTACCAATACTGTTATCTTAAACCACATTTTAAGACTGAAGGACCTTAGATCCAATCTGTGTGGATGTCTTCTCACCTACCAGCGAGCGCTGCGGATGGTGCTTTTTTCACAATGGATTTTGTTCTCTGTGGTTCTCGGAAGGCATAGGTCATGGAGAACTTGGGAAACATGACCAACACATCAGAAATGATGCTATTTAGTTATAATGAAAGTAATCAGATAACTCAAAAGGTCTTTTAAAAAATGAATTCAGTGAATGTAAATGATAGTCAAATTTCTTACAAACTTCTTGCTATATTCCCTAATCTGATTTCTCTCCTTAAATAAATAAATAAACAAATAAATCTCCCTCTGGTTTAGTAAATTAGGAGTGGCTCACAGAAGGCCTGGGAATGAGGGAAGAGAGAGCATATAAATAAACAAATAAATCTCCCTCTGGTTTAGTAAATTAGGAGTGGCTCACAGAAGGCCTGGGTAGACGCCAGAGAGCATGAGGGAATGGCTGGATGTCTAGGAGCGGGACAAGAGGAAGGGAAGAGATGGACTTGTGCTTCATAAGTGACCGACTTTACACTTGCATAAGAGCTTTTTCCCTTCCTTCTGAAGGTGGAAGGGCATGCCTTTGAAGGAAGCTTTTTATTTCAACTTCTTTTGAAGCAATTATTTTGATTATAAGAATGTACTTCCGACAGAAGAAGAAATCTGGAATAGATTTTGAAAACTTCTGAGGGGGAAGAAGTATAGTTTTGCATTCTGCAGGTTTGTCAAAATGATCTGAAGGGTTGCAGTTGTGTTTACTTTCAAGACGTCTTCTTTTAAGCTAATCCCTAGTTGATTTACTTTTCAATTCACTGCCAAGAAAGGCATGTTGGAGTTCAGTTGAATATTTGCTGTCATGGGTGAGGAATTTGGGTTGGGAATCATTCATTTTAATTTTCTAATAGTTCTCAGGGTAATATATGATTGTCATCACTTGAAACACAGGCCGCTTCTGTAGGGTGGTAAAGAACAATAAAATGTCTTCCCAGTGTGCTACTGTGTTCTTCGATCAAGCAAAATAGTTTTGATTTCTTAGTGAACTTCTTGCTATCCAGCTTCTTTCAGTCGCTGTGCCTTATGTGCCCCCTTGGCAACTCAAACAGCCGCTGGTGGTTTGAAACCTGTGTTCTCCCTTTGTACACATGCAGCCCGTTGCTTTGCCTATTTTTCCATCGGCCAAGTGGCTTACCTTTCTTGGCTTCCTACCCATGCCCCACTTACAGAGATGCGACCTCTGGAGGGCTATTGCAATAGAGTTTGAGGGTGTCTCTGCCTCTCCATGCCCCATCTAGGACTTAAGTCTCCACAGGACAGGTCACAGAAGTGAACATTGGCCAACTCCTCTACCATCTCGTCCGATACGTTGAGGAGGTAAAAGCATTGAAGCTCACCCTTACAGGGCAGAAAGATTTGCTCTCCTGTTCCCCTTTGGAAGTGAGTGACATAACTGTGGCTTTGGGAGCTGTAGGAGCCATCTAATGTGTCCCTTTTGTCATAGAAGTCATAGAAGTCATAGAATCACTAGGTTGGAAAAGACCTTAGAGATCATCCAGTCCAACCGTATCTGTCCACCACTAAACCATATCTTTCAGCACCTCATCCACCCGTTAATTTTTTATGACAGGTCCAAACAGACTTCTTTATTTCTCTGTAATAAGTACAGCACTATCTGTATTCCAAAGTCCCACAGGTCTAACCATTCCTTTCCTTCCCTGCTATCCAGAAGTGAATTACCATAAGAAGGCTCCCGTCCGGTCAGTCTGTTCCCTCCAGCTCATGCCCTGCCCATCCCTCTGCTCCCTGCGAGCAAGCAGGACTCTACACACGGCTCC